CAAAAAGAAGAGAAATAAAATTTTGTTAAGTTGCGATAATCTTCCGTTATAAAAATGCGGAATCAGACGCAGAAGCGGATGTGAAAAAGTATGCAGAACTTCCGTAATCACTAGTACGTAGGTACTTAAACTTGATGGCATTACGAATATTTGTGGATTCAGTGAATAATTTGTTTATCTTGTCGTAATCTATTATAAAATGAAACACGTACTGGCAAGTAACGTAACTTACTTGGAAAACTGACGGTATTTGTATTTTTCTGTGATGGCTCACCATTAATCGCCAGAAATCTTTCTCCCTCCACGCCACTACTTGATCTCTTTTTGCTTGATCTCGTTATATTTTTCCGTATCAACCAAGACATTTCATTGGAGCAATTGAAAAGAAACTTGTAATAGATACACGCAATACTTAATCACCATTAGCACAATATAACCCGCCATCCACAAAAACCTCTCACTCAACTTTACACTTGTATATTTTTTATTTGTTAAATTCAAATCGGGCGGCACCAAAACGTGTGTTCTTCACTTAAATCGTACACACCAATAACTATCCCTAATGACATAAAAAAATGTTATCTTTTATCTTATCACGTGTATCTATCACAGTAATTTATCGACTGAAGCACTGGTGCGTTTGTACGTACGACTTTTTAAGAAATTAAATGTATAAAATTTAATTAGCACTTCAATCCTACCATTACGTACACCACCTCGCCTACCTATATATCGACTTAATATAGTAGAACTCCGTACATATTATGACATTACATTGTACACAGTTCCATTATCTTTATTTTAACTGTTTATTACTCTAGTTTAGTGTAAAAATCACGTTCAATAAATGACGTATTACACGACGATAGAGGTGTAAGTTAAAATAAAATAATAACTAGAAATAGTGAAGTCGGTTGTAAGGTTTCAAAATTAGCTACTTATCGCTGCGTACAGTATACCTCATAAATTAGATAAAAAAAAATGGAAAACCTTCGAGGATGAGTGTAACAAAATATTAAAAAACTAAAAAATTCACAAAAAAAAATAAAATATACAAAAACTGAAAAAATGCACAACAAAAAAAAGAAAATAGTTTAAGTTTTAATAAAATTCAGAGCCGTAATTGGATAGATACTGAGCAATTACCAACTGGTAATATTTGTTTAAAGGAAAAACAAAATGTTTAAGATCAATTTTTACTAAAACTAAAATTTCCTCATATTTTTCGCATTACCCCGATTTTTCATTAAAATTCGTCCCTAATTGTTCCCGTTTTGCGACTACCTTGTTTTACATAATTGTTTGTTTGTGTTATCAATATCATAGACATGTATNTATACAATAAAAGAAATGTTTTATGATAATAGATTATTATTATAATATATTATCATTAAAACTATCTTCTTACTCAACCTTCAACTACGAAATATCCAACCGTAATCATACAACATACAATATACACTAGAGGCAAGTTGACAACCTAACATAGGGAAATCTACTACTTGTAATCATTCAAAGGTACCTAGTGTCTATCATCTTTTGGAAAATAAAGCGTAGTGTGGAAAAATTTGCACATTTAGATAGACGTGGTTGAAAAGATATATTCTACGTGTTCACAAAATTATGCATGTTTGTTCATATGATATAAAAGAAAAAATGCGGACACAGAAAAGTGTAATTTCTATGTTCGGTGAACGTTTCGCCTTACCTGTATATAGTACGCCAAATTATATCTTGCAGAAACCCTTAACTATTGTACTGATAACTTTCAAACACATTTAAGATATTAAATAAGCAACATCCGAATCAAATTATTAGTTGATTAGCTATGATGGCATAGAGTACCAGACAATTATAGTCGTCAAACGCATAATAGTCGTCATTCTTCGGCAATAAAAACAGTACGTAATTATAATTCGATCTAGGTGACATTTGTTTTTTCTCATAATTAATTACATGACTGTGAAGCATCTTCTGGATTGGAAATATAAAAATTACATTTTACGATAGCATTTTTTATTTTTTTGTGAAATAAGAAATAAATTTTGAAAACTGAAATAATTTCACGCAAGTAAAAGATGGTATATTTTACAAAGTGCCTAAATTTGACTAAAATATAATATATATACCAAAAATCGCAGCCAAAACACGTACCCTTGAAAATTGCTCCCAATTAGGAGACATCGGTGTTGGTTATAAATCAATCAAATTATTAAAACCCCTATTTTGGTTCCGATCTTTAAACATTACGATAAGGAGAAGAAATTAATAATGGAATCTAAACTATAAATATTAGATAAGTTTCATACAAAATTATACCCAACAGAGTGACGATAACAACAATTAGCCTTTTAATAACTCATTACCTAATTTGAATGTAATTGCTTCTATTATAGGCACTAACATATGTTATTATATTGTTTATTAAACTACCAAGTTATACTGCTGAATGTTGATATTACGACTTATCAGATAAAATAATGCCATCATGTAATTATGGTTTGTATGTTTATCTGTTTGTCTGTCTACTTCTGTCGTACTTATTGTTGGATACTGATAACTGCAGATTTTAATATAAATAATACATTTCGTATGTTTACCGTTACGTAGTTAAGTGTAACACATCAGCTTACATAAAAAAAATAATAAAAATTATTATATGCCTTACTACGATAAAAAATAGACTGTCGGACGTGGCATCAATTTAGGTCGTTTTGCGATATGTAACGTTAACAAAACACCATCTATAAAATTTTTGTGGAGGTACTAGGTTAATTATTTTCAGACTTAATAAAGAATGCACAATTATAACAAAGTGGATACATATATAAACAATTAATATTATTAAAAACCGAAGAGTTTTCAGGGTAGATAAGAGGCTATTAAAGTGTTAAATTCAAAGGACAGTGTGTTATTAAAAGCAAGCATAAAAGTTAAGGATAATATATTGAATATTCAAACTGAAGAAAAGAAAATCACAAAGGAAAGATGGAAAAACGAATAAAAAAAATTTAATAGAATGAGTATGGACGATTACTCACTACATATGGAAACTGAAAGAAGACCGAAGTGTATGGAAAGAGCGGGAAAGTTTAACAAAAAAACAATGATAAGTTCGAATAAGATTTTTCAAGTGTGTTACAATCGAACACACGACGCTAAGAGAGCTAACGAGGGAGAAGAGAGATAGGATGGTAGTATATTAGAAGGCGAAACTGGAGTAAATGGGGGCAGAGGACGATCTAGACTAGATTATTGTTCGCAAATAGTAAAGGACGTGGGATATTGTGAAACCATAAATACCTTGATATATTGGAAATTCCCCATCACTGTGACTGTGAGTCAACATAAGAACCCTTCGGGAAGCCACCCTGTATATTTTGTTCTCCCGTGTCCTTCGGAAGTCTATATATTATTATTTCAACAACAGTGAAATCTGTCAAAATCGCACCGGCCAAGGACACAAAACCGAATCGCGTACGGTCTGATGTGGGGTGCATTCGTCCTCGAACACATGTATACAAATACGACACACATACACACTCACACGACCACGAAACAAACGTCGAAAGTGTTCCAGCAGCAGAAACACGAAATGGGTATATAGAGGGCAAGTCCACCCAGATGGTGGAAACTGTATGAGAACGGAAAACACACTGGCGGATGCCGAAGCGGAGGGTCGAAAAGACGAAAGAGATGCTGCGCATCCAACCCCGGTCGCATCCCCTAATAACGAATTTGGGAGAGACTAATTTCGTCCGTGGCCATGTCCTCAAATCTACACTACATTAACCAGATTATCCATGTTGAAAAGTTTTCATTCACGTCTGTTTTTTTTACACCGATGATAAAGGCCTTTTTTACTCAATTTATTTTGAATTGACATGTTTGGAACTACGTAAATTTAAATTTTGTTTTAATCCTTTCTACTCGATAGTTTTCTTTAAAACTTCCTTGCAAAACGCAGGAATTTTCGAACATTTTATTTTTTTCAAAAATTTTGACAAACTTTTATATGTGATAAACATACAGTATTTTCTGTAAGAAATAGTGATTACAACAGGGAATTCCCACGCTTATCAATAATCAGTTTTTAACGAAAATTCCGATTTTTAAGGGCCTACCAATAATTAAATACTTAGAAAAATGAAAATAGAAAAAATGATTTGCGATATTCCAGAAGAGTTTTCAGTTTTTCTCAATAACTTAAAAAGCCCAAACTGCACTGCAGAGTCTATAAATAAAGCATTATAATCCATTTTATTTATTTGCGCTTAATTAATTGAGCAATGAAGATTTTTGTATCATCACTAAAATATCGAAAACAGTAGCTCTAAATAAATTAAGATTATTACACCGGAATTTTTTCTGTATAAGCGAAATTTAGCTTGATCATCAGTTACCGGACACCCTGTATATTTTTTCTGAAAACTAGACGACAAAACATTCTCATATTTGTTATTCATTTAATTAAAACTTGTATATTATTATACTGTTCTAGGAAAGTGTTCCTACAACAGCTACATTTATAACATTTATCAAGTCATATTTGTGGCAAACTGAATTTCTCTTTTAACACGTAAAAAAAGAACAATGCAAGAAAAGATATCAAAGGGAGAATAAAAACTTCAGAAACTTTTGACTCACTACTGCTAGAAAATTATTGTGGCATAGCCGAAGAATGTTCACATATTATCAACTATTTGAATAAAGTTGTTTTTAGCAAAGATGTTTTTTGTATACAGAATACTTAACAAAAAAAAAAAAGAAAACTTCTGCTTGACTGGTTATATGATGAAGAAAAGTTCTTCTGAAATAAAAGTTCTAAGCAATATTTTACTTACCAGCATTTCCATTAATTTTTTCAGAATTTTCGCTGTCACCATCTGGACATTCCTCTTCATTTTCTGTAACAAAAAAGATCTGCAATTTTCTTTACATGACATTAATTACTAGAATTTCTTCACTATTAAAATGAAAATAAAATAAAACCAGTAATGTACCTATATGCAACAACATTTATTACTATAAAAATAACCACTTTTACAACGTTTCTAGTCAATTAATAATAAATATGTATATACATGTTATAAATTAAAAACAATAGTATCGTTGTAAAATTAATTTTATTAAATAAACCGTGAAACAGACATATATACACATCAGTGCATCTTTTTATAAATCCTATCACTTAAGCAAACTTCCTTAAAATATTTGCATACTTCTTTAAATTTGTAAAGAGCTCTACCGTCCAGATATTTCACAATATTCAATAAGACTTCGACTGGTAGATTTTGGAGACATGCACATCCAACATTATTATTTTGTAAAATTACCATTTTAGCAGGATAACTGATTTCATTTTTAAAATATAAGGAGAGACTCTTCAAGTTCTGAAATCTCCACTTCACCCCTTCTGATGACTTCAAAACATATAAGAATGGATCGATCAGAATACTTAGATGGGATGAGTTGATTCCTTCAATGGTACAGTTTACAATTATATCCTCACAAACTGGGATGCAGGATATGTGACAGATATGTTGTCGATAAGGTAGTAAAATGAAAGAAAAATTGTAATTATGCACATTTTTTATCCAATTTTTAGGCAGTTGAGTAGTACATCGTAGAAATCGATGATAATGAAAATCAGAACTCAAGCACTCTTCAGGGGGTGCATCAATATCAGTGGTAACAAATCCAGTTTCTAACATCAAAATATAAATCAATCCAACTAAAACATCACTTGCATTTATTGCTTCTTCAGATGAAAGTGCAGCCAGTACATTTAACAGACTTTTTGGCACTTGATTACCAGAGCTATCGCACAAAAGAAGGGGCTCCATTACTTGCACTGTTTACAACTTAGCATTGAGGTTAAGTCGAAACAGTAGTCTAACATTCAAATACCCCGCGGCTTTACACCAATCCTAAGGAAGCAGCCTGTTGAATTTCTAAGCACATGCACTGCATTTTATTACGAACGTTACATTTGAAATGGTCCAAATCAAAAATTACGTTGTAATATTCTTGTTTCTAACTCAACAAGATTTATTTTACATCAAAAAGTAAAACAAACTGGTAATCAAAACTCGATGATTCATACAAAAAGAATTTTTAGCAGTACCTTTCTCTTACACAAAAGCAATTAATATGAAAAATATGTCTGCAAATTGGCTTGAAATAAAAAAATATTCACAATTTCATTCAAGAAAAGCTGATGTTTTTGTATCTCTTTTCGTAAACTGTTAAAAACAGCTGTCATAACAAACGTCATCAAAATGTAGGAGGTTATTTTGCATAGTTATAGAAACGTACCTTTTTCATTTATTCTACTATCTTTTAATTCATTTTGTTGCACATATTCACTATGTTTTTGAGTGTTTACAGTCATTATCACAGTTTTATCACCGCACTCGGCCATCTTACATTTAAACTTCCATATTTGGCATTAAAAGTTTTGTCAACTTTTCAAACATAACTGATTATTGCATGTTAAATGCAACAGATGGCAACAGTGATTTTAAAATTGTCATTTTTTTTAGCATCGTTCCTTGCTCGTAATCTAAAGCTATTTTTTAATAAAATTTCTTTTCTTACAGTAAGAATAATTAATAGGTTTAAATGCTTTAGATAATGTGCCAGTAATGATATTGTTACTTGTAGTATTGTTTTATTAATCCCTCACATGTGCTAAGCTTGGTCAATATCACTGTTTTTCATACTTATTTCCTAAATATTTTCTTTTTGCTTAATCATAAAAATTTTATACTACGACAAAATAACAAAAAAAAAATACAAACAAAACAGTTTTTTCATTATTTTATTTATTACAACTTACTTCATCCTAAAAATTCCTGAAAAAAAAACAAGATATGTAAACCACCTATTTAACACAGTTCTTATACACAAAGTGTAGCTTGCATTGTGTAAAACTTACTTAGCAAGAAGACTATCTTTTTTAGTCAGCCTAACAAGACAATCATCAGATTCACCCATTCTTCTGATTGCCCCACATAGGGCATAACTTCTTGTGGTTTCTGTCATCCTCCCAGTGGCGGGATCAACGTCAGCAAAACTAATTTGAATGGATGCATGGTCCTTTGCGTGAATTATTCTGTTACTTGCCGAACTGAAAAAATTATTAATAAGAATGCAAATTCTAACCTCCAAACACGTGGTTATATACGCTTACCACTTCCTGGGGCAGTACAAGTCAACGAATTCTTTTGCGTCGTTTTCCATTATTAGTTTTTGATACCGTACAGCTAAAAGGTAAAACGTGAAAGAATTAATTGCATGATAAATATTGCTAAAAAGTATAACTTACACGAGATACCATAGATTAGAGATACAAAATCCAAAGAACACTAGGCTTCTTACTTGTCACTAGAGGTCACTAAATGGGGTTAATATAATTAAATCACTTCCCGACACTCAGTATATTTGCATTTTAAAGGATCACTGGCAATTAATAAAAATTTAATATTATGTTAAGTGTGCATTTATTTATGATTAAGTTTTATTACGGGATATTTTTCCGTATTTACAAATAGCTTATGAGCCTTTAATGTGGACTGTTGCGCCGCCTAACGAATTAAATAGTAACTGTCTAAATAAATATTTGACTGACACCGCCATCTACCATTCATCATGACCAACTCTATGGTGTATTCAGTAGAAATCTAATAAGAGCGGGAATTATTTAAAAAATAGGTCAGAAAACAGTAAAGCATGCGCTAGTAGGTGCTGTTTTAAAATCCGCGCGTATGTTGGTCAATATTTTAATAGGAATGGTGCAGCAAAGACGTGGAAACCTGCGAACTGAAAGTGACGAGAACGAAAAAGTAACTCGAGTACACAACCTTCCTTAGAGCCGGTATTTTAGTGCTTAGGTTGCGTAATTTATAGGTGAAACTTGTGTGACAAATAACAATTTAGTCCTTGCCCTTCTGTCTTACGTTAGATAAGATCGATTTTGCATTATGCAAAGGTAAACAGTGACCGCACTTTCTGGTTCTACCGGCGATCTCAATAAATTATTAAAAAAGGATGTCGCTTAAGGTAAAACTAATTTATTTATATAGACTTTATGATTTAATTTATAGTAATAGATACACAAGTATACGGATACTACCCATCCTACCTAAACTTTTTTTTACAAAATTTAAATCTGTTTTACTACCTAAAAATTGACAATTTTTGTATGTTTATAAAAAGCAAATTTTTTTTTATTAGTTTATTATTATGAACATTCTTAGATATACTTTTTTTACAAGATTAAACTAG